CACACACACACACACACACACACACACACACACACACACACACACACACACACACACAAAACTAAGTCAAATTTAAGATGCTTCCTGTATTTCACTTTCTGAAAAATCAGCTAGGTCTTGTTTTTTGTTGAAAGAATGACACCTCTGAATAGCAAGGGAGTCAAACACCCAACTGTCATTGGAGGACGACTCCCATAACCACTCAACCGCAGCCACCCCAAACCCTTAACTCCTTAAATTTTAAAGAAAAGTTTCACTACAAACCTCAAAACACTTGGTCAACAAAGCTCTAAAAAGCATTTACAAAGTCATGAATATAAACATGTAATCCCACATTTCCTTAGATCAATTTATTAATTTCTTTTCCTTTAAAATTAACTTTTTTTTTTTTTTTTTTTTTTACTTCTCTTTCGGCTGCTCTCAGATCAGCGCGTGGGCACCTGTTTCTCTGCTCTGGCTAATGGCCGCTGTGCAGCAGAGCTGAATAGACAGTACAACAAAATGCAGTGTTGCTGTGAAGCAGGACGCTGTTGGGCTTTGGGCCAGATCCCTGAGATGTGTCCCGTCAGAGGTTCAGGTGAGCATGCACGATACCCAGGACAGAAAACACACACGTTTATATGTGCCTATATGTCCAAATCCTTTTTAAAATCCATTTAAACTGATCCCAAGTGAAGGGAAGGCATCAAACAAACCAAAAACAGAGAAATTACTGGACAACATTACAGCTTTTGGAAAAAAGACCATCAAGAATAGGCATAACAGTTTTTTAATGTAGACCACGTACGTACATTTCAAGCAGTTCTGAACATTTTTTACATTGGATTTCTTTTATCGCAAACAAGTAAAACACATTTTTCAGTATATTAGGTTAGTGGAGCTTTAATAATCCACACAATATTTGTTTGACTAATAACAAACACTCTGAATAAAACTGAAATGTTCTCTTTTATTGTGTCTTTACAAGATGAGTACAGGCGTCTGTGCATCGTGGGGGTTCCCCAAGGCCTTCCGCATACCTTCCCCAATGGATATTTTCCCAGCAACAATGGCAACTATGGGTTCAAGCTCCCGCCCAGCGTGCCAAATGGGAACGGTAATGGAAAGACCAATGGCAATGGAGGAGGGGACGGCTTTGGAGACAATGGTGGGACATTTGGGGGCAACGGAGGTACTTTTGGGGGCAATGGTGGGACTTTTGGGGGCAATGGTGGGACTTTCGGAGGTAATGGAGGAGGACTGAACAACATAGGTGAGTTGTTGAGTGGACGTTCTTTTCAGTTTGAGCACTACTAGTTCTGTGTTTTGACACTAGTTTGTGTTTTAAACAGGCGCCGTTTCCCTGAATGAAAGCATCGATTTTTGCAAACATTTCACCCACCTGTGTTTGAACGGGCGCTGCATCCCATCACACGGAAGCTACCGCTGCGAGTGCAACATGGGCTACAAGCAGGATGTGCGCGGGGAGTGTATCGGTACGCGATAAGCCCACACCACATAATAACAAAAGCAGACACGTTCCTATTCAGCCAGTTCTGAAGTCAGGCAAAGACCTCATTCACACCAGGCACGAACATACATCCTGGGCGGTCTAATCACTCCTGGACAGTATAAAAAAGCATTTGTGTATGCTTTTAATGTGCATCAAAGACATTTTTCCCTCAGACTATTTTCAGAGTGACCAATGTTGCCACACTTTATTTCACGTGCCACACTGCCATCTTATGTCAGTTCAAGGAATTTGATGCTGACAGAATCAACTTACTCAAAATAGAGTTTTCAAAAGTTTTTTTTAGTCCTGTTTGTTAAATCTGTGCATTACATTTTTCTTTTTGTCTTTTCTCCACTGTACATTAAATTTATCTCAGATGTGGATGAGTGTGTGAGTAACCCATGCATTAATGGGGATTGTGTCAACACACCTGGATCATACCACTGCAAGTGTCATGAGGGATACCAGGGAACCCCTACCAAACAGGCCTGCATTGGTACGTCAGTCTATGCTGTTTATTTATGGCGAACTCCTGAACTCATCTTATAGAAACAAAACTCATTTGAATGTATTTATGAGATCAAAGACAATAAACTTCTTTTTGTTTTTTTTCTTAGACATTGATGAGTGTATTGTGAATGGAGTAATGTGTCGAAACGGCCGCTGTGTCAACACAGAGGGGAGCTTTCAGTGCATCTGCAATGCTGGTTTTGAGCTCACTCCTGATGGAAAGAACTGCATCGGTGAGGAACAAACCCCCGACTGGATTTTCCCATAAGTTTTCACCTGTGTAAAGCTGATTCAACTTGTCCTGCTCCTTCCAGATCACGATGAGTGTGCCACTACCAACATGTGTCTCAACGGCATGTGCATCAACGAGGACGGCAGCTTTAAGTGCATCTGCAAGCCTGGCTTTATGCTGGCTCCTAACGGGCGTTACTGCACCGGTAGGATCAGCACAGTCCTTTAGGCTACGGAGAATGACAGACAGGCTGTTTTGAAATTGTGTTTTTTAAGTCAAATTACTTTTTTAGAAGACATTTTAGAGTTTCAGTTTTAATTCAGAAGTCCTCTTGAAATTTCTAATGGATTTACTGTGATGTTACCGTCTCGCCATCAGACATCGATGAGTGTCAGACGCCGGGTATCTGCATGAACGGGCGCTGCATCAACACCGAGGGCTCCTTCCGCTGCGAGTGCCCACCGGGCCTCGCCGTTGACGTTGATGGACGAGTGTGTGTGGACACACACATGAGGACCACCTGCTATGGTGCCATAAAGATGGGCACATGCTCGCGTCCGTTCCCAGGCGCGGTGACCAAGTCAGAATGCTGCTGTGCTAATCCTGAACATGGCTTTGGAGAACCCTGCCTACCCTGCCCGTCCAGGAATTCAGGTAGCGTCTTTGCTCACAGCTGCGTGATCCAGAGTCACATGAATGTGTTTTTTAAGTTCTTTAGAAATACAGTACTATGGTATGGTATGAAGAATAAGACATTCTCAACAAATCAAATTGCTTCTAATATGTCTTTCAGCTGAGTTTCAGGCTGTGTGCAGCAGCGGGATCGGAATCACAACTGATGGGAGAGGTAAAGACCATTCTCTTAAATGTTGGGAACTTTTTTATTTTTCTTCGTCTTYGGAACAACATATGATCTTTCCAGACATCAACGAGTGCGCCTTGGACCCGGACATTTGTCAGAACGGCATGTGTGAAAACCTGAGAGGAAGCTACCGCTGTATCTGCAACATCGGCTACGAGTCGGACACAAGTGGGAAGAACTGTGTCGGTGAGTCCGTTTGGATTTTAAAGCTTCTTTGGGTTTCAAAGTTAGCTGATCATTTCTTTGAGTTGCAGCTGTGGCATACATTGCTATGTTTTTTTTTTTTTTCAAAACATTGCCGAGAACTGTTCATAAAGCTCTAATTAATTGTGTATTAATAAAAGAAAACATGTTTTTTAAAAGCATTTGCTAAACAAAAGCAGGTTGTGAGAGTTTGTTACTGGAAACAACGGAGATAAAATATTCACTGTAAATCTTTTGAAAGGAAAAATTTAATCTGCTCCTCTTTTGGATGTCTTTTCATTTCATAATGCATCAAATATTTCCAGGAGGTGACTCAGACTGAGGTGGATTGGGAAGGATGAAAACAAAATCTGTTTTTAATTCAGTGCAGCTTGAGGACCTAATGATGTATACCTTAGGATGATGAAACCCCTAACTTATTTTTGCTATTAAATTCTATGAGCATTTATACGATGGTAAAAATGATGTGGTTTTCTTTTAGAAAATAATGTGGTTTATTGACTATGATTATGACCATCATCCTCCCTGTTTTACCCGCAGATATTAATGAGTGTTTGGTGAACCGGCTGCTTTGTGACAACGGTCTGTGCAGAAACACACCGGGCTCCTACACCTGCTCCTGTCCCAAAGGATTTGTCTTCAAACCTGACTCAGAGACATGTGAAGGTGAGCCATTCTTTAGTCATATACCTTTTAAAAAAGTGAGAATATTTACGTGACTGTTTTTGCTTTTATACCTACTCATATTACAATGTTCAGTTCTTTCAGGAGATAGGTGTGATGGATTTTGTAGCTTCTATACTTTTTTAAATATTTAACTTTATTGACAAATATTTCCCCATTGAAATTGAAATCTCTTTAATTCC